GATGAGAGCGACCTCTTCTTTCGTGGATTCCGTCGTTTCCGCGCCAAATATGAGTTTGATGGGCCGGCAGTAACGAGTCGAACCTGGTACGGAATTTCGCCAAACACGGATTCGATCGTTCGTCGCGTGCAACTCCAATGGCACGAGGGAGAACAAGAACAGCACACCGTCATCCATTGATTTTACACTGAAGCCTTGCTTGTATCGGCTCTGATTCCCACTGCCATCACAGCCCCATTTGCTCAAGAGACGGAAGCTTCTGTATCCAGCGTCGAACTGCTCCCTCAGGGTTGAGTAGTTCGCCTCACACAAGCGCCTACAAGTCAGGTACCAACAAAACTTAGCAGCGTTGTCTCGGCTCTGACATCACTGACGCGCACCTCATCCGTGGACGGGAGGCAGAATTTCTTGGCTCCCTGAACTCTTTTGTAGGATGGTAGCAGAGAATGACCTAAGGAAACAGTTTTCTTCCGAAGGCGACCGTAGGATCGCGTGCTCCATTTGCAGTCGAGGTATAGAGCCAAAGTCTCTACTGAACCACAGGTTCGCGCATTTTTGCAGGTACTCGGAGTTTCGCTCGTGGGAGTACCGACATTTTTGATCTATTTGGCGCTGCTTCGGTCTCCGGTAGCAAACACAGAGCGGTAAGCCGCGTACAATAACTCCGCAGGTCCGGCAGGCAAAAGATCTTTGACTTTGTCCCGTTTTGTCCTCTCCGCCAAGTCCGAGAAATTTTTCTCTGGACGTCCCGCTCGAGGTGTCCCTTGTGACGCTCTTGATGGTCCCGGCTCCTCGGGCACGTCTTCTTGTGCGGGTAGCTCAGTGTAGTGCACGATGAATTCGAAGTTTCTGGCTTCAAGCCATTCGGCTTCTTTTTCGAAGAAACGTTCCGCTTTCGAATTATGTCTCTCGATTTTCCCCTCACTCGGGACACATGCCTGGTGATCTGCTTTCTGATGTGAGATCTGTTGCTTAGTTGCTCAATTTCAACATGAGCATGACTCAAAATGAGTTTCTCCAACCGATCGACGCACTCGTTCTTCCGGGAGTTAAAGATTGTCTCCACAAATGTCCTCCGGGGCACCCAAATTCGAATATCTGAAAACAGCACGCATTCACGTTCGCCAAAACTTGCTGGTTTTTTTTTTCGGAAATGGAAGGAGGGAGGGTGGAAGAAGATTTTCCGACCCATGAGCCGCCCGGGTCCGCCCTGGTCCATATACTTTTTCGGCGGTGAAATTTGATGAAAATCAGGATTTTTTCGCAAAAGAGGATGCACTCAGAAAAACTTCTAATTTGCATATTCTCGTCGAATGAAACGCTAAACGTGGAGTTTCAGACTCAATCTTACTCACGATTCGGTGTTTGCTCCATTCTGAATCGATTCCACGGAAACTCGAGCGTCAGCACGAATCGGAAGAAGAAAGTGACAGTCCGGAGCAAAAAAAACTTCCTCTTTCCAGAGTCTCTCCACAGAGATTCAAGTGCTCGGTTTCTGATTGGTGTGTGTTTCTGAGGTCCCCATACTTCCTCCAAGACGCCACGACATAAATTTTCAAAATTTTTCATTTTCAATTTCTGCCGCCTAAAATCGGGTTTGGCCACACTGTGCGACGTGGAAGCGGAGTTCCAACAAGAAGTGGCTGAGCTTCAAGGCGATGCGATGGGGCGATGGAGACCTTCTTCAAACATAAAGGTGTTCTCGGCTGGCTCACTGAAGAAATGAGGAGCTCTCATCCAAGAACGAGCTTAAGAGCATCTGTATGAGTGTGGCTTCAGCGCCGTCAATGACTTACGGCACCTCATAGCATACGTGCTTGTCGGATATAATAGCGATTTCGGTAAAATAAATCATACTTACGCTTCAGGAATCATTCAGACAGAAATAATGCGTTCGGTATCTTGCTCCATGGCACTGCCTTTGTGGTGACATTTCGGCCCGGTGGGGCATGGAGGTCTGAGGCGTCAGTGTCATGTTTGTCGACGATTCAAACATGGAATAGAGTCGAGATCTCGTATCCCGACGGGGGAGCTGTACAAGTCCCCCGCAAACTCGCACCCGATGCGTGGCGAATATTGGCGCGGCTCCGATCGCGAACCACCACCTACCTTAGAAACATACATCTACTTCAGTTTTCAGTTCATATGGACCACTGGGGCGACGGTCTGCCCATTCGAAGCTTGGAATCGCTCCCAGGAAGCAAAGTGTCTCGGACCATAATCTGGACGAGACTCAGACCTCTTTGACGAACTCCTCTCTTCCGAGCCCCGACACATTTCTTCCATCTATCAGAGGAACTTTCTTTCCTCAATCCTGCATCAATCCCCATCGGTCTTTCCTTGAAGCCCGCTTCGGTTTTTTGCGAATCGAGGCTGCCGAGTAGATTCTCGGCATGAGAGGGTTCGGAATTCGGGCTAGAAACGAGGCTTTTTGGCAGGGTCCCCCAGGATTTTGATTTCCCAGAAAATTGGTCACGGCATTCCGTACGCCCATTTTCGCCGCTCGATGTGATTCTGCTCGACAAGGGGCATACCAGCTTGGTGGATAGCTCGCAGGACCGTCGAAAACTTCGCGTCGAGCATTTTGACAGAACATGTTTTCAATACGCCGAACGATGTTCCGTAGCGGGAATTCTCATCAGACTTCGTCCAGCAGGGAGCTAGAAGAATTTCCGCACCCAGCTCGCTTTCCATCTGCGAGCACGATTCAAATAGCTATCAGCGAAAATGTTCCCGTTGACTCTGCACAAATACATCCCGGGTTGTAAGCCGCCTCCGTGTGGCTTGTCTGTCCAAATTCTGACTGAGTGCTCTCCGTATGGTTGATGTTTTGATCGTAGAGGCGGCTTTTTCAGCGCCTGTAGCAGCCTCTAAAACCTTGTTCTGGACGGGGAGGAAGTAGGTCGTCTGTTGGAGTTTTCGCCGATCACATGTCCTTTTGTCACAACGAGAATTTTCGACAAGGAATCAGGGACAAGTCCCGATTACCTAAGTTTCACTTTGTGGACTGCTATGTAATGAATAAAGAACCTCGGTTGTGAGAGACTTAGGAGGAGACGAAACAATCCAGGGCTCGACGGATTGTGGGTTGACTACCTTTCTCAACAGAGACATCCATGAGATGGGGGAAATCAAAATCGCTTCCGTTTACCATGATTCTGTGCACTAATCAATTATACGTGAGCCGAGGAAATGAGGGAGAATGCTCAGTTCAACTCGAGAAAACCCACTTTGGATGTTGGACTATTTTTATTTTCCCAAGGAGTCTTCCTCCGACGGTTCCGATTGAGCTTGGCCTTCATGAGGAACGTTCCGTTCCGGAACATCCTTGTAATTGGAAGAGGGGAGAGAGGATTCCCCCTCGTCGACCTGACTCTACACGCTCATCTCAAACGAAAATTGGGTGGGAACGTCTTTTTCACGGGCCTATTCATAATTTCTGTGAAACTAAGAACCCAGGATTCGGAGACTAATCCTCTATTGATGTAAGGACCGAGTGCTCCCACGAAAATCGGGAAAACATATTCAAAACTACAATTGAAAAAATTGGCATCCTAGGAACACTCCGAGTTTTAGGGATTAACGAGCCCGAATCCTCATTCGTGAGGAGTAAACGAGAAAGTAATCAACGGAGAAGAAATCTTACGGAGCGTCCCGAAGAGGGGAACGGATGTTCCCAACCCGGGCGACCTCGTCGGGACCGGGATATCGCACGGACATTAAAGATAAAGCGGCGATAGGTGAGGCGGGGGAGAGGGGGAGCGGTGATCGGTAAGCGCTGTCCGAGAGGTGGGCTCGAAGCGGAAACGAGTCAGAGGGCGAAAAGCGAGACGACCCCACCCGGACCCGTCCTGGTGGTGAGAGAGACGTTCTCAGCAAGCCGCTTGCAACTCCGATTCGAGGTCTCGGATTTTTCCTCCCTTTTGCCTGATGAAATGGTGGTAGTGCTCGGCATCTTGCATCGTCGTCGGAAGCGGGGCGTTGAGAGTCTCCGGCAGGCCAAGCATCAAGAGCGAAGCACAAATCGTCATGGCTCCGAAAATGACGAATGGTGCATTTTTACCAAGAGATGAGCTCTGTAATCGACCCGCATCTGGTATGGGAACATAATCAAATTTTCCGAGCTGAATTATTATTGACTGAGAGTCGAGAATTTCTCACCAAAGAGACGATGTACGGTATTGAAACCAGACCTAGCTGGGACGCTGTTGTCGCAACACCGATAGAAAAACCACGAATCACTGTCGGGAAAAGCTCTCCCGCGAACATGTAGATGATCGTCATTGTCGACGTAACGCAAACTTTCGCCAGGGATGACATGAGCAGGACGAGCCAGGGGATGTCTATCGGAAGAGAATGAGAATCAAATCACGATGGGCTATTCGACGCATTTCGAGTCATGTGCCCAGGGCATTCTACGATTGCGTACACCCTGCGGGTAGAGGCTCACCGGAGGGAAGAAAGGACGCACACAAGCAGAATACGCCGCCGCAAAAGAGACCTCCGAGCATCGAGCTCCTTCTGCCGACGCGGTCCATCGCGAAACAACCCAGGAGGGCTCCTGGGACCTCGGCTAGACCGCTGAGAAAGAACGCCAGATTCGGCTCCGAGGCCAAGTCGGGCACAGCGAAACTTATCCCATTGTACACCTGCGAAAGCATTGAAGGACATCCCTGTCTATCCTTCGGGATCGTGCGGAAGAATGTGAATCGATTCGAAACGTCGAAGCATGCATAGTCACCATGAAGACTATGGTCCAAATGACAGATATTATCAGAAGCCTCAGCGACACTCTTGGGAATCCTAATATATAGGAGATGTTAAAGTCCTCCGACTCCTCATCGTCCACACTGAAGGGTTGGTCTCGTGTCAGCTGAAAATTAAATCGAGCGAAAACCGTTCCGTATTCCCGCAAGAACATAGCTGTGCCTCCTCTGTCGGCGACCGCTTCTCTCTGCGCCTCTTTCGCGCTGAATGAGGTACTCACCGAATTTTGTAGCGCCTGGTCTGGACACAGGAGAAGTCCATTAACTTTAGCCATCTTCCGGAGCAAAATTTCGGCTTCCGTCGTCTTCCCCCTGAGAAGGAGCCAGCGAGGTGATTCTGGTACGAGCCTGAAATTCAGGGGTTCCGAATGGCATGGGGGACACGGGAACCATCGATAGATTGTACATCGATCTCCACGAGAGACCTACAGACAATGAGCTGGAATAGTGGATACATGACGTGCAAGCGGAAGACGAACCAGTAATATCCGACAAAGAGGATTGAAGGGAAGGAAGTCACGGCTTGTAGAAGTTGCCAGTGCTTAACGGCGTGCGAAATCGAGGCGTAAAGCATCATGCCTAGCGGCACCATAATGGCAAAGACCAGAGTCGTCGTGGTCCGCTTCGTCGCGCCGGTCATTTCAGCCGCTGGAAACGCAGCCCTTAGAATGCGGTCTTATTGTAAGAGAGAATCGAACCCCGACACGGCTCCCGGATCAGCACAAAGAGGTCTCAGCTTCGCAGTATCTCGATCTGATAAACCCTGTTGACCCGAATGAGCGTTCAGAGGCTGAGATCTTCGTTTTAAGCCCCCCCCCCTCCCCACCAGATCCATAGTCGGGAATGCCCTCAAGCCCGGATGAAGCTCTCGTTTGACACCGTCCGTTATTCTTATTGATTGGCCATGCGTGGGGAAGGGACTCACCGATCAAGAAACCCAAGTTGAAAATGCTGGGATACGCGAGCCCGACGATGAGCCTCATCACCGAGTAGCCAGCATAAGAGGGTGGAAAAGTTTGCGCGATATTCCCGAAGGTCATCACAGCTAAAGCGAGGAGGAAGGCTGGTCTCCGACCCCATCTGTCGGATATCCAACCGAAGATAAAACAACCTATCGTGCTACCTATGAAGAAGCCACTTTGAGCCGCGGATATCCACCAAGCCCGATCGCAAACCACGTGGAACTGGAAGAACAGACGGTGATGAGGTCACGAAAACGCTCTCGACGGCAAGGAGGGGAGCCGCATGCTCTCGAATGAAGGAGCTGAAGACCTAATGCCATCTCCTCCATCGGAGGTCTGATTCCGAGACCATCGCAGAAACTAGAGACCCCCGAGAAACCTCTCCCGAGAAGTTGCGGATTCGAGTTCTCGGACGAAACCTCTAAAACCACCATTTTCCTGCAATATTGGGGTGCCTCCACGGATAACTTTCGGAGTTATCGGACGCTCGGGCTTCCGTTGTACAGGGTGGCCGCAGTGTCATGCTCCACTCGAGTCGAGTCTCGTGTCTGAATTCTCACCGTAGTGGCGAGGGTCTCCCCTTGGTCCGCACCCCCGAAGTCCCATCCGTGGGAACACTGGACTTCAGACCAGAGGTTCTTCGCGACGAAATCGTCGATAACCGACAAGTTGAGATATTCAGACTGAGAAACCAGCCGATCGATGGCAGAATTCACATCGACGTCGTAGTGACGACATTGTGAGTAGCTGCCGGAGTCTTCGCGAGGAATGAATAGAGACTGGAGCGCGTCCCGGTAGTTCTGGAATGGTAAGAGAGTCGGGATTCAGAAGGGAGCACCTGCGAGTACCCTAGTCCGCTCTCCGGCCACTGTAAGCTAGCAGCGGAAAATAGTAGGTCGATGGATTCTGTGATTGTCTGACTCAAGAGCTCCCGAAAGAGGGTTCTGGGATCCCTAGGGGGTCCCGGCTGCCGTTGGCGAAAATAATTCATGTCTTGATTATTTATGATCCTTTACAAAAATATATTAGATATAGGTTGCAAGGATATCGACCAGCCATCTCCTACTTTACTTAGGGGACTCGCTCAATGAAAAATTTGAAAATATTCTCTGGTTGGCGAAGCCGCAAACTGAGACTCTTGGAATGAAATCGCAAAGGGATTCCGAGCGCAGTCGAGGACTCCGGAGGGGGTCCCGCGCTAGAAACAGATCAGAAACCGCTGGTCTAGCTCTTTAAGAACGAAACCTCTACACGCGACGGAGCGATCAAGTGAAGCATTATTTCTCATTGCAATCGATAACTTCTGAAATCATTCCGCGATGAGCGGAAGTCTGCTGATTAGAATTCGCATATACATATGTACAGCAGTCCTGTTACCGAAATAGACGCGACTCGAAGACCTGCCATGTGTGTGGAGCTAGAGCTGACAGCGAGCAGTCTGCGCGCGTTCCCTTCGAAGCGTTCTCAGCATTAATTAGGAGAGACCCGTTGCCTTGACCGTGTCGGACGGGAGCAATGCGAACTTGCAGTCGAGATATAACGCTCGTTCGTATACTGGGCCGTAATCTCGTCGAGATCCTTCGCATTTCTTGCTGTGCTGCCGGAGTTCCGCTCTCTTCATTGGGTGTTTGGAAATCGACACCGCGATATAAGGTTGTCGCAATAATCAGGCTCACGATAAAATTGACCAGTCTGTGTGCCATCGGGACATGGAAATCGACTCGGGGATGGAAGTCCCGTGGCTGATCACCAGGGAGGGAAGCCTTAGATTCGACTTGCTTCAGGAATCCAAGCAGACCCGAGTTTGTAACATGAAGCACGTAAAAGTACGACGATCAGAAAATGATGCCTGACCCCAATATCGCTGTTTCACTCGAATTTCGCTGATGTACCTCTGGATTTGCCAAATATCTCCGGAGAAGAGCCGTTCGCTCCGCCGCGACTGGTGCGTGACAACGATGCTCGGGTACCGCCGAAACGAAGATGTGGCTGAAGATGGTCACGGCCATGGGAAGACTTGACGGGGCACAAAGAAGCAGGAGCATCCATTTTTGATAGCGTCCGAATTCCCCGACGGCAGACAATGTCCTGTCGAAGTTCATTGTCGATAGGCAACGAGCCTTTCGCACACTTGTGTTTCTCGATGTTCGCACTCGATGCGATATTTCCGAGCTCTCAAGAGCTTCAGTCGAGCGCGACACCCGCAGCTGGTTCTCCTGAGAATAAACATGGAAGCGAACGCAGTCGCCCGGAAAGGAGGCAACGCTCTGGGAAGGGCAAACCTATCGGTGTGAGGAAGATTCCGTAGTGCTCTTCTGCCGTGCGCAGGCTATGCCTCTCCCTTGAAAATTCGGGCCTCATCCGTTCCCGTCAAGGGCATACAGGTCACCTATCTCGGGAACGGGGAAAGAACGCCGCCGAAAATAGAACCGCTCCAACACATTCGAAATTACCTTAATCCGTTGAGGACCGATTTCTCTCCGAGAGACGACCCATGAGAACATTCAACCGATTCGTATGTGAGCGGTTCGATTGCCGTGATCGTCTCTCAAGTCCATTGATTGCGGTTTCGGGGATTGACGCAAGGCACGAGAAGAGGATGAATTAATTGCCCAGGCTCCCGGGAACGGTTCGATGGGTTTGATGAGGAATCCGTAGGGGCTCATGGGAAGCGCTTCAATCACGCGGTACAGGATGATCCCTGCCCTCCTGCACCGAGTTCCGGAGGCTCTCGTCTATCGTAGCGATTCTCGCAGCCGGAGCGCCTTCTGAAAATTGCTGACTCTGATGACCTCGAGATGGGATTTCCTTCTTCTGGAACGAGAAGCACGACCATGTAGGAGCGAAGAATGAACTTTCGCGATAAGCCGCAAGATTCCCATATGTCCGTTCAATTAATCAAGAATCCGGTGAAAATTTCCTCAAAATCAGAACAGTATTCTCTGTCAGTGGAGAGATCCAGCTTTGGGGTAATACACCTGGTGTTCGTAGTATCGTACACATTCGCTCGGCGAGCCTCAGGTACTCGTATGCCTCTGTCAGGGATCGAGCAGACCTGAGCCTAAAAATTCTGCTCGGGAGTCGACTCGGGTGACCGGTGGAACCTCCGTCTGAGGACTCCGAGAATACGGACGACACGGGCTCTTATAAGCGGGGATACCTTCTATGCGAGTTCCGAATACACGCAGATTCGGAAAATCCAATGTTCCGATTCGAGTCGTGAGAGAGTCTTCTCATTGAATCGTTCTCTTGACTTCGATAGCAGCATCGGAGCCGCCCTCGTGGATCTCTCGAGAGTCCCACGCGCCTCAGCACATCGAGCAGCTCAGCGCGATTGAGCTTTCAGAGAGAATTGAACTTGTGAAATATTTAGCTCCGCCGCTGACGAGATGAATTATTATTTCTCGACTTGCCCACAAAGACCTGGCAGTCTCTTCCGGCTCGACCTTGACGAGGACGTTCGATAATCAGGGCGTCCTGATCACGTGATTTTCGATCTCATATGCACCACCGGAAGTCTAGAATCATTTGATCAAGAGTTCCGAAGTGGAAGCTTCTTTTCGGCTGCGAATGAGCGTCATCATCACCGCGCCACCGCCGTAGCTTTCCAGCCGTTCGATGTGCTTTGATGACTGAAGCTGCTCATCTTCCAACTCTGGATTATTAGAACCCGAAGCATAATTGAATCATGTATTTTCAAAACATCCTAAGTCCAAAGACTCATTTTAGTCATTGAAGACACACATAGAGGGGGAGTAAGGTCTCATATTTTTTTCTGAAAGCTCTCCGCGAGGGCTTTCAGAAATGACCCCTCAAGCCTGGATCGGTGTCTTCTTGGGGAAACTACAGACAGGTTTCACTTCGTCGTCTTTTTTTTGGAGTGGACTCAGGATGTTTTGAAAATACATGATTCAATTGATGCCGATGATATCTTGCGGCGAGCTCTTTCATGGAAATCGTTCAGCAAACGTTAAGATATAGGATTTCGGAGGTGTCTCGCGACAGCTCCGCTACAAGCTCTCGATCTATGTGCGTTAACGTTTCCAAGTTTTTCACGCTACCACTGACTAAGAGTGATTTACGATTGTGAAGAGAAACCATGTCAGTGATGCGGACTGCTCGGTTAGCGCCACCTCGGTGTGATGGATTACCAGGCGGTTGGCTCGGCGCTGCGGAAGGAGACCCAGAGCGCCAATCTTCTGCCGCGACAAGCTAGCTCAGCAGTCATCGGCAAGCAAACTCGCAGAAAATCACGGGCAACATCCGTGGCTCCGCTACCGTACCTGAAATCTTACTAGTGAGTGCTCCATTGCCGAATCTGACTGGCCGGCTGACGCAGCCTCATCCATGTACGCACTTCGAATGACGCTTGATAGAGTTGTCTCGTGAATATGGAGGTTCTTGTTGGAGATGGAATGGAGATGATTGGGAGCGACGAAATTCTGAGAGATATTTTGGACAGGACATCCCGCAGCGCTCAGTTCATATAGGTATAGCTAAGGCATATCGATCATTTTCTCTCCCTGTGCAATGCTTCCCGGATGACAGGCTTCTCGCTTCCGAACAAGGGAGAAATACTCAAAAACTCTATTCGAGTTGAATGTCCGGATTTTTGCATCACAAATCCCGGAGCTGAGCGGAGCTTCCGCTCAGCGTTTCATACAACTGTTCCTGCACGTTAAGGTCCAGGAGCTGCTTCTATGGTAATACAGGGCCGGATGCTGGACGATTGACCCTTCTCGCGTTTTTCGCTCCGAGATCCGCGGGTCCTCAAGGAGAAACTCACACGCGCTTTTTTTGCCCGACGGTCTTTCTCTCCCTCAGTCTTAGGTGTTTCGTTGGGAGGAAAACTCGCGACCGAGTCTTCACGGATGAACAGAGCCTTGAAATCCCCTGACCTACAACCCACCAACCTACAAGCTCGTCATAGGAAGCTTCACATGTCGTTCCGTGGTAAGAAGGATGCGTCCGATCGGATATTCATATTTCTGATTTGCTGTTGGTTTCCTCTATAATGTCACTCCGCTTTTCGCTCCCGAATAGGCTTGATATAGGAGGTGGATACGCTTTCGTGCAGTACAGCTGTGTTTCTCTTCTTCGTGCGTTCCCTTCCAACATTTCTCTCCGTGATAGATGAACTCAAAGCCTTGCAGAATGGAGATAGTGGTGGATGGAGATGAGCTCGTTTGAAAAAGCTTGATCGGAACTGCCTGTCTCGTCGCCTGAACCGGGAGCTGACCTCTCCAAGCGAGTTCGAGGAGGCATGTCTAGAACGATTGAATTTATTTATGCTTCCCCTGTCGCATGGGTCAGAGGATCACTGTCAAATTTTCTCATTAAACGAATCCCCTCCCTCAGTCTACCGGAACCTAATGCGACCCGCTAAGATGGGAGATGTCCAAGAGTTCTTTGCTCATGCGCTCAGAGCTTTTTTTCGCCTCTCGCGCTCGATGAACTCCTGGTAGTTTTCAGCTTCCTGCATAGTAGTGGGTAGCGGGGCATCCAGAGTTTCTGGTAGGGTCATCAACAGCACCGTCGCCAGAATCGCGAGCAATCCGAATATCACGAAAGGAACATTCCTCCCGTATAGCGTGCCCTGTAAAAAGTGAGAGAGTCGATCGTTCGAGCGGGAGAAATTCAGTCAGAGAGGCATCAGGAGGAGACAGTACGGTAGAGACACATCAGCCATGCAGTGCGGTAGATGGAGGTCCTCGTACCAGGAGTAAGATGTAGGGCGCCAAAACCAAACCCCCTTGCGACATCGTTGTCGCCACGCCGAGTGCCAGACCCCGAATCACAGTGGGGAAGAGCTCCCCCGCGAACAGATAGATCACTGTGAAGGTCGCTGAGACGCTCAACTTGGCAAGACTCAGAATCAGAATGAGGAGTACCGTGAACCCTGAAAGGGGTGTGGTCATCGATTTAGACCCGAGAGCAGACGTACCATATCTAGCATCCCGGTCAAATGGGCACCCACCTTCTGGAATGAAAGCTACAGCAAGGGAGAGGATTCCGTTGAAAGACATCGTCCCGAGAATCGTACCCTTCCTGCCGTAGCGCCCCATCGCGAACCAGCCGAAGAAAACCCCTGGAATCTCGGCGACAGCGGTCGAGAGGAAAGGCAGTCGGGGCTCGGACACCAGATCAGAGACTCCAAAGCTCATCCCAGTGTAAACCTGCGAAATCCTCAAGCCTTCTGAAATCAATCAGATGATCAGCGGGGAAAGACCCTCCCTTCTTCATGAGCCGCTCGGAGCAGCAGGCAGAGAGCCAATGATCACTTACGATCGCAGTGATTGCCCAAACGATCGATAGAACAATCAATCTCCCTGAAACGGCTGGGAACTTGAAGAGATGTACCATGTCGACTTCAGAAGAATCGTCTTCGCGCGGCAGTCCAGACGTAGAGTGTTGAGACGTCTGCGTGAAAATAGCAGAGTTTTCTTTCACGGGAATTGATCGCGTCGGTCGAATTCTTCGAGAGATAAAGAGCTCTGCAGATGAACAACCGCTATCACTCGCGCATACGACAAGTACTCTAAGCGACGTCGTATACGTCCAACAGGAAAAGGCTACACGTTGCTTGATCCCGGGTCGAAAATAGCGGTCTGTGAATCTCGAAACATTCGGAAGATCTACGGTAGTGAGAATTTTGCGAAAATCTTCTAGTTGCTGCGACGGGGTCCCAGCAAAAACGGAAACAGCGTCGCGATGGAAACTCACGCCCCGGAGCTCCAGAAACTCTCGACTGCTACAATATACTGTCGTCCATACGGTTTTGTGCATCATATTTTTTGTCGGATTTCGGAGTCAATGGTACGACGGCGTAGACTCCGTGGAGCTCGCTCGGATTCCGAGCCTAGAGAACTCACCAATTTCTCCTTCAAGAGAGTTGGTGGTAAATGAATTCCGTTCGTAGACGCCATATATTGCAGAATGATCTCAGCTTCGTCAGTTCTGCCCTGCGATATGAGCCATCGGGGGCTCTCTGGAACAAGCCTTGAGTTCGACAGTGAGATACAATTTCGTACAAGCAATTTCTCAATGAGGATGTTCTGGGTATCTTCTCCATGATAAGGAATGCGGGATTGAGATCTATCGCTCATGTGAAAAAATGTTTTAGCGAACGGACCAGTAGCAGCTGAGGAGGAGTAGAAGCGGAACCGATATGACCGCCTGCAGGTGTTGCCAATGCCTGAAGAAGCACGCGATAAGAGCATAAAGCGCCGCGCCGATCGAGAACGCCGCGTTGAAATACATCGTTGATGAGGGGCGCCACTTGACGCCGATCATTTCTGTGGCTAGAATGATTTTTCATTAGTGGAATCTCTCGTGGTGTTCGGGTTGGGGGCCCTGGCGATAGACGATCGATTGATAATAACAAGCTCTGTACGCGAATCCACTCGAGCTCTATCGTCATCTGATTGTGCGGGTCTGATCCAAGTCCGGCGCGCGGTAACTTTGTGAGTTACTGCATGGCAGCCATCTTCAGCGGCAGAGCGCCTATGAAAGCAGATCCTTTAATTTGAGAAGATTCAACCGGAGTTCCGTCCTGCCGTAGAGAGTGCCCCGCACCCTTGAGGCCTCACGCACTGGGGCCGAGGGGAGCCAAGCATGAGCAAAGTTTGTTTATCCACAAGCAATGGCACACGCACAGTTTCCGATCTTCGCATGAAACTCCTAAGAGGATGGAGCTAAGCGGATCTCGCTCAACGAGGACGTGGGCTTTCGGCGCTCACCGCAGAGCGCAATCGGAGTGGCGTGTAATTATTCGATGCAGTCGCCTGTTTTTTTGGCAGCTGCGCTCCGCCATCCTCTATCCTCCGAGAGCAACCATCGGGGTTCTGGCTCTCTGTCTCTTTAACATCGAGACGATGCCGGCGGTGACGGTACTAATCGTATCAACCAATACGAAGGAGTGCGCAGACGGAACTCGTGAGAATCTTGCAGATCTCTTCTATACTTCGGTGCTCAGTCCCGATGTAGAATTCGCTCGCTCAGCATGTGTGCATTATTTTTGTAGACTTGATTTGCCCACCCAGACCGCGCTGACGGGGTGAGAAAAGTCAGTGATTTGAGATCATGGGTCCATCTTTCATGACATCTAGGTGCGACGCAGACCGGCCCTAGTCAGCAGCTACATATTTCAGCAGAGCAAGCTCGGGAGCTCATCTTCCTCATGGTTCCGGGCGAATCACGCGCGGAATGAATCAAGCGCATGGTCGATTTCCGGGAATGGTCGATCCTCGCGACATTGATTTGAGTCATAATGATAGTTGAATAATCCATCTGAATAAAAATTCGTCAAGACCCCGAGCTGAGGTCAATCACGCGGAGGAATCCTCCTTGAACTCTTCTGATGGCGAGAATCGCCGCCGAAACACTGTGGCTGAATGGATCGTATGAGGTATTGTGCGACGATCGGGTAACTCACCGATCAGGAAGGATAGGTTGAAAACGCTAGGAAAGCTGAGCCCGACGATGAAGCGAATAATCGCGTAGGCAAAATAATTGTGGGGGAAAGTCTCCGCGATATTTCCTGAGATCATGACGGCCAAGGAGAGGAGGAACGCCGGCCGCCGACCCCATTTGTCGGACATTCGACCGAAGACAGGGCAACCGATCATGCCTCCCGCGTAGAAGGCACTTTGAGTGGCGGAGATCCACCAGGCCAAGTCGCAAACCACGTCCATCTGGAAAGAATATAATTCATGTTCACTGGAACGGAGTCTGACGTCCGATTCAGCGGAACGGAAGAGCATCTAACCTTGCTCGCGAGAGTTTCGGAATATTGCGTCGTGTCGTAGTCCCACCCGTTCTGACACTTGACCACTGGCCATCGATTCCGTGCGACGAAACTCTCCACGGAAGAGGAGTTCGGGTGATTGCTCTGCGCGATTACTTGATCGACGACAGAATTTATATCGATATCATAATGAACACATTGCGAAAAACGTCCGGAAGCTTCTCGTGGTATGAACAAAGTGTACAAGACGCGCAAGTAATCCTGGAATTATGCAGGTAGCGTTACGCAGGAACTTCGATCAAAATCGCGCTAGGGTTCATCGATCCTCCATTCGTTCGGAGCATGCCCACAACGTCGTGTAGGCACGCACACGGACGCGCAGAGCCCTCGTGAGATTCGATTCCCCAGTTAAGCGATGAATGGCTCTCTCAACCAGGTATGAGCATCGCCTGTCGGCTCGTCGGGTCTATCCTGGTCTAGCTCTCTTCCAGGAGCCGCGACGAGGTCGAATATTGGCGTTCCGTGTATTTTTCAATGGCTTGTTCAGTCAGCTTCGGGGAGGGAGGAGGGAAATGAGCGTTATGCAATCACCGCAGGGAAATCTCGGAGCGCGTCATCATTGAGTGCAAGCGGGAACAGGGTTGTGAGCCACAGATCCCGGAGATGCTAAGCCTACGCGGGAACTCGACACGAGAAACGGTAGGGCGGCTGGAACGAAGCACTCAGAGATAGAAGCGGAACTCGACAGAAATTGCTCCCCGGGCTCGTCGGCTGAACGAAAAAACAAGGATCAGCTGAGCAAACTCGCCGCCGCGGGTAGGTTTCCTGTAAATAGGGGAATGCGTAACTTCCATGAACGGCTGATGTATCAGTCGATGTCGTTCACAAGCGCTGCTCGCAGCTCTGATGGAACAAAGGGATGGGGATAGACGGATGTATGTAGAACGCGGGGCCAATCTCGACCCTGATATGCTTGCGAGCCACGTCAATGAGCACCACCTCGGAGCGTCCATGGAAGTGTGCTCATTCGATAGGATCCTGGGAGATGTATTCTTGTTTCGTGGGAATAAATTCCGCGTATGAATCTTCTTACTCGGGACTCGATCGGACAAAGGAGTAGGTTGAAAATCGGGCAAGAGCTCCCCTCCGAGTTCGTTCTCACCTCATGTGCTGCTAGGCTTCTGTTGAGGATGAGAGCCTTCACCGATGAGATGGGAGGGTGGCAGCGATGCTCTGGAACCGCCGAGATGAAAATGTGGTTGAAAAGCGAAGCTGCCGTCGGAAGACTCGCCGGTACGCACAAAAGCAAGAAAATCCATTCCTGATAAGGTCCGAAGTCTCCAACCAGGGACAGGATCTCGTCAAAAGTCATAGCGGGCTTCCTTTGCGATATTCCTCACGTTGGTCCTGCTGGAATATGGAGTCCCCGAACTCTGTTCTTGTCTGTCAGAAACCTCCGACGCATATATCTAAGCCAGCTGCTGAATAGACACAATGAGATACTTTTCTAGTTAAGAGACCTAGTTCTAAAACTCGGTAAATTCCGGATGTAAATCTAGGACGTTCACTCTCTCTACCTACTGGATCCTCGACACAAATATCATCCTATATATTCAACGAAAAACGAATAGAGATACTCTCCGCTCTGTGACCACCCAAAAGGCATCCTCGTCATTCTGAAGTCTGAATTCTGTCCTCCTCCTGGTATCCCGACTGATCTAATGAAGTTTCCACTCTCGGAAATTCCTATCAGGTCCGATGCGCCGTTCTTCGATAGCGAGGGACGTACGATCCACACAATAGCTCGATTCTCTCGCAAAGGCGGGAGATCGTGTCTGCGGATATCATTTGCACAAGGCAAGGGAAGGAGGGCCCAGCTCCATCCGGGAGTGCATAAAACTTCAGGAGCCATCAGCGTCGTCTGAATAATGAATCTGTTGAGATCCTCCAAGATTCCGCTGTTCTAACAATGCTCTAGTCGCCCCGATGTCGGCGATTCCATCGGCTCCTGCTGTGCGCATGGAGTGTCTTGGTGATGCTGAACTCCTCGCATGGGCTGTTCTCGACGTGTTCAAAATTTTCTCCGTTCAGGCGTGTCGGTCCGCGATCGAGGAACCAAAGCCTGGTGTCGCAGCTGACCCAGAACGGTTGACGCCAACGGACTGGCTGATTCTGTAAACCAAGCCGATATTCCATCCGTGGATGGTCGTTCTCCTCATCCTAGTTCCCATCCGGGGTACGAGAGAAGAGGGGTTCTAGAAACCCACGAACTCGGATCCTTCTACGGAAAGAATCTCTAGCTCATTCCAGCTCATACCGCCTCGCCTAGAGAGCCATGCTGTGATCTGCTCGAGAACAAGCTCCTCTCCGCGATCCGACTGCAAGGGAGCGGCATTTTTTGAGTCAGTCTTCCGCCAGGACGGATTGACTCGGAAAAGCGATTCCGGCCGAGACTCGGAGCGATCTTGAAACGGCCGGCTCACCGACTCGAGAAGCGATGAATCACATATTGCACACAAAAGGGTGCATATACATAAAGAAGGTTGACTTAGAAAGCATCGATAGACACTCCTTCTCATTCGAGCTGATGACCCTGCAGCAAGAATCCTTCACTACGTCCCACCGGCTAGTGGCGTGGACGCTCTTCCTCAGCGAGAAACTACCGTCGGAACGAAACTGATCCTTCCTGAACGTTTTCTTGGTGAATGCATAGCCAGGAGTCATCAGAGGGACGGGTTTAGTAGGTGATTGCTGTCCTAGCTTCCATTGTTTGCAACTCTCATGATTCATGATTGTTACAGCCATAATTCAAAAAGTCGTATTGAAGTGAATTCATTGGGCCACTAAGAGAGGCGGCCACGATCGCGGTGTTGCTCTTCGCTAATTTCGATAGAATATCCCGCCATGAGCCCTGATTTCAGCTGGACGTCTCCTCATCACTCTTAAGCTGCCGCAAGCCGCTTCGGCACTCCCCATTTTTAGCGAGTACTAGGTATCCATCTGCCACCCCCTCGATGCACGGACCGTTTCCTTCTTTGGAGGATTCCAGGACCCGCCGCTGATTCAATCTATCCGATGTCGCCCCGGGAGTCTACAACGCTCAACTCGACTTGCAACCCAGTCAACTTTTGCCGGCACCACAGCGTCTCCTCATAGCTCTGGCCGGAGTAGAATGAAGCAGGAGAGGCGAGAGTCCAAAGTTATCGCTCCTAGCTCCGGGAGCATTCTATGGAAGATTCCTTCCGGGGGCTCAAAGACTGTATCCATCTGCCGCGGATTACCTAGCCAGGTGACACGCAGGATATTTCCCCAATACTCCTACCGTGTTCAAATCAAAGCCTAGTAATTGCTTCGTGTGGGATTAGAAGACGGCGTGGATGAGGGCTCTCAGTTCTCGCCATCATCAGTCCGACTCATCAATTTCGATCGAGAACCAAGTCACCCCCGCAGACGATTTTTCATAGAAAACTCAGAAGTCCGTGGAATCGAGACTCCGAGCCTCGTTCAGACCCACAAGGCAGGGGAGTCGATCAGAACCATGGCTAGACACCCATTTGTGTGGGTGAGTTGTTGCTCACTTCCTCTACGTACTCTCCTAGGTTTCTCTCTCAGAAGATTCAACTGCATGAAATGCTTGAATAAAATCACTGCTTTCTCCGCTGCCCAGGATCCGAGGGTGTGTTCTCTTCAATCAATTCTTCCTCGTGCGATTTGAGCCTCTCCCCCTGAATTTCGCAAAGTTTCGGGAGTGATCAGTTGTGACGGTTTGGAATTTCAGAAAAATTCCGCTCAACCATGATTTCGCTATCAAGAGCTCTACCCTTGGTGGCCTCGCGCGCTTTGGTTCGCCACAAGCACGGCAGAACTTCCCGTCTGACGACTTTCAACTACCTCAAGCGACTCCCGCAACCTAGCGACAAGTGCATCGCAACGTACGTTTGGATTGATGGAACCGGCGAGAATTTGAGGAACAAAGCCCGAACCCTGAACTTCATTCCCAGTCGTCTTGACCAGCTCCCCGAATGGAACTACGACGGATCTTCGACCTATCAAGCCCGCGGCGGGAACTCGGACACTTTCATGCGACCTATCGCCATGTACGAAGACCCGTTCCTCCAGAAAGGTCAAAACAAACTCGTACTCTGCGACACTTACCTCCCGGATGGATCTCCCACTCCAAGCAACCGCAGGAAGAGCTGCGCCGAAGCCATGGAAAAAGTTAGCGACCAAGATCCATGGTTCGGCATCGAACAGGAATATACGTTCCTTGATCTGCATGGTCGGCCCTACGGATGGCCGGAAGGGGGCTACCCCGCTCCTCAAGGTCCGTATTACTGCGGTGTCGGATATGGGAGGGTCACCGGTCGAGACGTCGTGGACGTGCACTACCGCGCGTGTATGTTCTCTGGAATCAGCATATCTGGTACGAACGCCGAGGTGATGCTCTCGCAGTGGGAGTATCAAATCACTTCGAAAGGAGTCTCCGCGCCCGATGAGCTCTGGATTTCTCGATATCTCCTCCAGCGAGTGGCAGAAGACTATGGAATCGTGGTTACGTTCGACCCGAAACCCATGAGCGGAGACTGGAACGGAGCCGGAGGTCACGTCAATTTCTCGACTGAAGCCATGCGAGCCGAGGGTGGTATGGCGGTCATCAAGGACGCGATCGAGAGGCTCTCGAAGAGACACAAGACGCACATCACGAATTACGATCCCAAACTCGGTAAGGATAACGAACGGCGTCTGACAGGAGCTCACGAGACTTCGTCGATTCACGAGTTTTCGTCCGGTGTTGCTAACCGAGGATGCTCCATCCGGATTCCGCGAGCCTGCGCAGACGCAGGCAAAGGATATTTTGAAGATCGCCGACCAGCATCCAACATGGACCCATACGTTGTCACGGACCTCCTTGTGCGCACCTGTCTTCTGAACGAAACGGACTAAGTGAATCCTGGGAGCTTCGGAATCGGGAGGGAGAGAAAACGACTGTGCTCTGGGGAATGTAGGTTACCGGAGGGATCGCCAACGAGATGGGATAGCGTATAGAAATAATCAGACGGGCTCCGAAGTAGCACGAAGTATGCTAATCGCAGCAAGATTGAATCTTCCTCTGAAGCTTAAGCGTCTCGATGCACCGCGCGTCATATCTCTCCGTTAGACTGAATATCTGCGCTTGTAGAATAAAATAAGCGTTCAGAACAATATTAATTCGGAATTCTTTCGACTTCGGCGAACTTGCATCCTTCCGAACGCAGATCCTCCCTGTATACCTGTGACTGAAACCATGGAAGTAAATGGATTGGTGATGCGTCTTCGTGATACGACAAAAGTTCATGTTCACTAAACACTGTGCGAAGAGTTTGATCCAGTATCGATTCGATCGGTATGAAGCTCTTGGATGATCTCAAAGGACGAATATGCCGATCATCTCAAATCCAGATTCTAGATTCTCTCGTTAATTCTCAAGAGAATCGAGATGAATATCGTCATGCGACCGGAGAAGAGAAACGAATCGAGCAGAATGATTTGTGATGCAGCTTCGGAAACACGAAATTGATGACGATCCCCGAGAGACTCGAATCGACTCCGGCACTTCTGCGAGAGTCAGAAGTCAGAACAGGCTAATTTCAGATAAGCGATCGATTCATCGCATGCAGATTTCGCAGATACACGGGAAGAAGCCACGACCGGGGAAGAACTCGAGGATAACCATAATGTGCGGACCATATGGTGCAGAATGGCATCTAAAGTCTAGGTTGCCGAGTATGGCAGATGCTGAGTTTTCAGGGCTCGTCTCGGTGCCCGGAGAAGTCGATGATGATCTGACGGAACCGTTCACTGCAGGGCCATCATTGGGTTGCTTTTGAGATACGGTACCGCTGTGAGTCCCTAATCAGAAACTAGAATTCTAAGGTCCGAACAGACATTCAGCGAATCACCGAAAAGGCGTCAGAGACCCCGATTACCTGCTAATTTCATATTTAGTAGACCCGTATGGCAGGCGTTGAATATCAAGCAAATTACATACCTCGAGGTATTCGCCCTTCGCGGGTCAGAGTGTAGTTCGTGTCTGTACCTGATCTTCGGAGAGACATGATCAAACATCTATTTCGAAATTATCCACTGATCGAGGATAACAGAAGGGGGCGGGCGGCTCGATCCGCGACTCCGCGGAGATGATAGGAAATTGTCATCCCGACCCCCTCCGTAACGAAACTTTGAAACCATGAATGGGGAGGGAACGAGGCACTTTTCCACGAGTTTCAGCCACCTCTACCCGCGGAAGGTGCGCTTGCGGACCTCCACATGACCCTTCCCCATCAGCCAGAAAACAACTGTCAGGCAGGTCGAAGCAGCCTTCTTGAGCACATAGTATGGATGAATGAACCCCCTCAAGAGGCCCTATACCGTAGGAATACAGAAATGAAGAACTATATATATACAGATATCAATGCGGCAGCAGGCAGGGGAGCTCTATCACCGGATCCCAGATTGACTTCTCACGGCAGTTTTCGCGCGCTTGAGATAATCAGCATAATGCTCAGATTCCTCCATCGTGGTTGGAAGGGGAGCGTTCAGGGTTTCCGGCAGAGTCAGCATCAGAGGAGCGACCAGCATCGAGAGAACTCCGAAAACCACGTACGGAACGGATGGTCCCGAAATGTCTCCCTGAAATCCATTCGATTGAATCCTCATCTCGGACGTTAAGCAGCGAGTCAATGCTATCTGCTAATCTTCTCATGAGAGCCGTAAGAGGTCGCCTACCAAGAGGAGGATGTACGGAGCTCCTATCAGAGCTATTTGGGATCCCGTCGAAGCTGCGCCGAGCGCAGAGCCTCGGATCACAGTCGGGAAAAGCTCTCCGGCGAATGTGTAAATAACACAGAAAGTGACGGCAGCAACCATTTTAGCCAGCGAAGGCATCAAAACGATTAGCCACGGGAGATCTCAAAACGAAACAAGATTATCCTCATCATCGACGGTGCTGCGTCGAATCCGTTCTCGATCGGCGGAAGTTTTCAATGAGCATAAATTCGATTGAACATTCCGTGAAAGACAAAGTTACCATCTGGGATGAGTGCTGTAGCCGCCGCGAGAACCCCTCCGACAAAGAGAGTCCCGAGCATGACGCCCCTTCGACCGTAGCGCTCCGTCGTTGCCCAAGCGAAGAGAGTTCCCGGAATTTCGCACAAGCCAGCCATGAAAAAGGCGAAGCAGGCTCCCGACGGGAGGAGAGGAGAAGCCAAGCTGAGACCGTTGTTCATCTGAGGAGGCAGGTATCGGTAGGCGAGAAAATCGCGTCTACCTACTTTTCCAAGAATCTGGGGGTTTGTACTCACCATCGCCGTGACAGCCCAAGTACTGACTATGACGATCAGCTTCAGCATGACTCTCGGATAATTCAGAAGTTGCAGAATCCCGATCTCCTCCAATTTCTGTTCGCTCGACGACTCCGGAGATTTCGAGAGAGCTTTCGCCTAGAAATTTCGTGACCCTAATAGTTTTCGAGAAATTGAAGTTCTCTCAGGATGGCAGCGGACGAGGGAGACCGCTCGATGAGGCAGATGATTTAGTCTCCTCAAACGTCGGGAACGTGACAATTTACCAAGCTGGTCGCCAGGAAATCCGGTGCGAGTTGAACCCCGTTGACCGAAGCGATTCGCTGAATGATGACTTCCGCTTCGTCCATTCTGCCCCTGGAGATAAGCCATCGAGGGCTTTCCGGCACCAGCCTGTATTTCATTGGTATTGTATCGCTCTGCGTCAGGTAAACTCGAGCAGGGAAGCTTCCATCTAGGTACGTGATGATTCTTTACGATCGAGGTCAGACAAGGGATCCGCGACGTCAATTCGGAAATCAAACCAGCACGAACCAGTAATAGCCGACGAGCAGCACCATCGGCAGCGAAGTCGCGGCTTGCAAAACTCGCCAATGTTTGATGAAGTGTGCAATCAAGGCGTACAGCATCATGGAAATCGAGAAAGCCAGGCTGAAAAGCATCGCTGCCGACATTCTCCTATCCGGACCGATCACTTCAGACACTGGAAAGGAGCGTCTCCTCGGTAGGAAGTACCCTCCGAGAAGAAAGCTCAAGAGCTCATGAATAGCAATGGAGCACCGGCACATGTTTTGATCGATTCTGAGGGTCCAAGGAGTAGGACTCGATCGCTGAATGCCCTTTATCATGATCAAAGCGAGGATATTTAGAACTCACGCATTAGGAACGCTATGTTGTAGACGCTGGGATAACTAAGTCCCACAATGAATCTCATAGCAGAATAAGCGACGTAATTCGGCGGAAGAATTTCAGCGAGATTTCCAAAGATCATTGCGGACATAGCGAGGAGGAAGGCCGGCCTCCGGCCCCACTTATCCGAAATTCGGCCGAGAGCAAGGCTCCCTATCGTTCCGCCCACGAAGAATGCGCTCTGAGCTGTCGAGATCAGCCATGACTTATCGCAAACAAGGTCCCACTGCAACGAAATGTATTATAAGTATATGGGGAGGAAATGATTGATTCGAGGGGAAATCTGACGGAAAGTCCACCGGTCTCACCATGGTCACGAGAGTTTCGGTATATTCGGCACGATCGTAGTCCCACCCATGGAGGCATTTGATTCCGGTCCATTGCTTTTGAGCGACGAAACTATCAATGATCGTCAAATTCAAATATCTGTTCTGAGCAATCACTTGGTCGATGGCCGCATCCGCTTCGATATCGTATTGAAGACACTCAGAGAAACCTCCGCTACGGACTCGTGGTATAAACAATGCCGTCATTGCCGTCTGGAAGTCCTGAAATTTTTACTCGGTGTCGTGAAGCCAGCAAAAAGTACTCTCGCCCTGAGGCCGGAGTCCTCCGCACGAGAAAAGGTAAAACTCTCGTAAGTTCTCGCAACGCCTTGTCATCGTTCTATCGACGAGGTAGAGATAACCGGGGAGCACTCTACGTCTTCGAGTGATTTCTTCCTGTCCACCCGCAGTCGTTCTAGATGTGAAAATTCGCTCAGGAGCCGAGCGTCCCGACCACTGCCGCTTCCAGACGCCTACCTTTTTGACCAATTGCTCGACGGAATCGTCCCTGGCGGGACAAGAACTCGAAAACCGATCGAATCTGCCTAGGATGAAGAAGGAGCCTGGACGGAGTAACTCGCCCGGCCCTAAACCCAGGAGTACTCGAAGAGTGATTGAGAAGTAAAAAATTCTGGGCCCACTTGAGAATCATCGTGAAACAGAAGCCAGATTCTTCTGAACAGTAGCCAGGTTCTGACACGCAAGGATATTGTTCTGCAGAGTGTCGGATGAACTCCGGTAGACCCAAAGTCAAACGAACCCCTGGTCGTTCCGGAATCTCCTTGTTCGAAATGATTCAGAGCTACAATCCGGAGGTTCGCGCTGGCTGTGCTCGACTGCCATCGAAACATACGAAGACCCTGCTCAGAGCTCGTAGGCCTCATGGCGAAGCACGATCTACGGAGCCATGCAATCATCGGATAGATGGACATTCGGATCGAACTCCCCTGAGTCGCCCCGATTGACGGTCGCCAGCCACGGAACCGCCACTGCGGACTCGCAACCAGGTTCCAATCGCTCCCAACTCATCTTTGCAGGGCATGATGCATGATGAAACGTGAACCCTGAAACGT